TTGGAGAATCATTGTTTTGTAGGACACAAAAAAAATGCATGGGAATAGAGTCAAAATGTGCAATCAGGAAAGCGTAAAATAAGCAAATAAAGAGAGAAGCCCACCTACCCATCTAATCTGGGCCAAGCACCGACATGGTTGCGCTCCTAGCCCAACAAGGAACCACCATGCAGAAGGCAGTTGCATGCAGGCGCCATCAGGGTGCGGCTGCACTGCCCTCCACGCCTCCAGCCGCCACATGTTGCCTCCTGGTGCTTCCCCCATGTCGGTTGCATATGGGATCCCATGGAATATTCTCTAGAACCGACGTTTCCATGGCTATAAATAGAAGAGGAGGCCTCCCCTCTCATACACACAACTCAAGAGCCTCTCTCCATCCACTTGTATCTTTTTACTATTTTTAGTAGTGTTTGGAGCTAGGCTAGACTCTTGTGAAGAGCTTGGACATCTAGAAGGAATCTTGGTATGTCAATATGAAGAGTTTTTCTATGTTCTTGTTCTTATCCTATAAATATAGTTATGTTATAGAATTAGAGCAAAGTTCGTATGTCATTAGTTTAACATATAGAACTTTATGCTTAACCATTCATACAACATACATGTTTAGACCAACACCTAAATTGAGGTAGTGAGTTCTACTTTAAGATTAGTCTTGTTCATTATATTCTTACGGGTTCATCATCCATCCCTGTGACGGATGTTCTAGTAGAGGACTACTAATAAATATGGATGTTCCTGGTCGATGCTATAGTAGTCGATAGCATAGACATGGTGTCTAGGCTAGAGGCTACCTTCATTTGCCTCGTATCCTCCGGTTGAGGGGTAGGCGGTAGGTGGTGATAGCCCTGTCCGTCCTTCGTAATCCCCCACGTTTGGATACAGCGTAGAGCCGTAGACCGGCAACGCTTGGCAGACCAAGTGTTATCCGGTGCCCAAAGTTATATCCTTGAGATTGGCTCGAGTGTGTGTGACACACTATCCAATATTTATACTGGCTTACCCCAGTTATGAACTTTGGTCTATTATACAATCATGTTATCTTGACCATGTCCCTACTAGATACTTTTACACCATGCCTTCCTTTGGGAAAATATAAATGAACGATACCCGAATACTTCCGGGTGAAATGCTACAACGATATATCTGTGCGCTTGCGGAATATTTCTACATGTGTTCAGAAATATCATCACGATGTTTCTGGTGCCATTGCTAGGAAACACAAATCCTAGTGGTGATGCTAAGGAACGCCAACAGGAGGGCATGCACTAGGGGTGAGGGTGTGCCCCTGGTCTAGCCGCCCCCAGGCAAAGCCTCCCCCTAACCGTCCTTCTCAGGTCGGTTGGTTGCTAGGCCTAGGCCACGTCCCCATGCACTTGAGGCCTAGATTGTTTAGGTTGGTGGGCCTTTCCCTTAGTGCTTTGCATGAGTCTACTTTACGCTTTGTCTGGTTGTGCACTTTAACCACATTTTCCACGGTTTTCATCTATGTGTCTAGCAAAACACTTAATCTCCAATACATGTGGAAATATGTCAATATAAATAACATATGTGTGTAATTCATGCTAGTTCTCCTTTGTTTGTATCTTATTTGGTGGTCAGATTTGGTTGGTAAGGACCGCCAACAATACACCACCTTGTGCATGTGTGTTGGTATTTTCACAAACATTTTCAAGGGTTAACACTTCTTCTCATCATGCCACTCGATCCTAGCACACATGTAAAGTTAGATCGCTCAAGTGGCACTAGATGACCGATATGCAAACAAGTTTGCCCCTCTTGATAGTACGACCATCTATTCTAAATCTAGTCATGCACTTCTCTACACAATCTTTGACCGGTGAAATGAAATGCCCTACAAATATACCTTTGCCTTGCACATTCCATTTCATCTCATCCAATGTTGATGCCACACAGGCACCAACCTCGATTAACAAATGATATGATCCACTTCGTATTATCATGAGACCTTATTGTTTTCATCGATCTTGACCTCACTTGCTCTTCACCTTTGCCCTTGTCCATCGGTGCCAAGTCCTTTACTCAAGCTTCTCTGCCATGTGCGGTGCATCACTCCAAAGCCTCTGACTTACCCTTCATATTTGCAATTGGTCTATCAAGTCAAGCCTTGTCTTGATCTTCTCCACCTAGTCACATGACTCCATGTCATGTCTCATATGCAATGAGCTCCTTCATCACATGTGTGACCATTGCAACATATCCAAGCCATTTCCACCTCCATGGCTCAAGTTCCTCACACTAGTGTACATGTGGACTACTCACCTATGTATTTTACTTAAACACATATTAGTCCACCTAGGTTGTCACTCAATTACCAAAACCAAACAAGGACCTTTTCACTACTGTTGGGGGTACCCCCTCGTGATGCTACCTCGCCTCTCGTCTCCTCTAGACTGGACAGGGCACTCGCCAGCGCCTCCCGCTAGGAAACCCTCGCTTCCCTCGCTTTGAGCCCGTCGCCGATGCCTCACCATCACACCCACCGCCACTTCCAAGCTGACAGAACCGAACACCTTGGATACCTTCGTTGGAGAGGGCCCCTATGTCATTAGTTTTGCAAGACCCTTAGACGACTGTGGAGCCGCTCAACGACGGAGAACCCTCGGAGCCACCCATGATGCCACCATTAGAGCCCATGGAATGGCGACTTTCCCTAAGCTAGGAACCCTAACAGCGTCTAAGTGGGTAGTTGGACTTGGGGGTGATGAATGACCGAGTTGCCCCTAAGTGCCCGTAGAAGTTAGGCTGGTCAACCTAGGGTGAATGTAATTTTTCTATACCCGTGGTATGAGCTATAAATACCCGGGGACACTATTATTGTGCACGATGAATTAATGTCCATTTATTACTGAATTTACTATTCCCCTAGTTCTGTCATCTTGGATGATGGTCCCCCTCCTTCTCCTGTGCCCCCACCTCGGCCTTCACCCCATAGGTGCTCTGCAGAGGGTCTAGAGGTTGAGCAGTTACCTCCCAATAGAGTACGTAGCTACCTTATTGCCACTGACATGTCATATTGTTTTTTATGCCCTCACAGTCACCTTTTTCCGACGGGAACACCTGCCTCACTTATTTATTTTGAACGAAAATTAAACTTTCAAAAGCGGACGGGAAAAAGAAAAGATGCTTAAGGCCCGTTTCGAATACCATGGAATTTCAAGAATCCCTACACGAAATTCACAGAATCTCAATATGTCGTCCAAACGTAGATTTTAGAATATTTTAACATGTACTGCGTGTATAAACACATAATCCAATAAAAACACATCCGATTTTTTTTTATCTACTACTGGATTCTTAAAATCGTTGAGGAGTTAGAGCATCTCCAAGAGTATCCTAAATCTCCTCCTAATCCTTGGTTTTTAGTAAGATGAGAAAAAATCTCTCTCCAATAACTCCTAATATATCCTCCTAAAATTTACGCACTTGGAAAATTCTCTCCCATCGCGCGTAACTTTACGCGGACTTCGGCGTTGCGCGGAAAGAGGTTTCCTGCGTGGCTTCATCTTCGCGTGCCTTCTTTTGCCGCGATCCACTCCTTCCCTCGCGAGTTCTCCATCGAGCCCAAGTCCGTCGGCAATGTCGTCGTCCCTGCTGCGGGCGACTAGGGAGTGGAGAAGGCAAAGAAGCAGGATAGCGTTGACGCCGCGCCGACCTCGGCAGCTGCGTATCGCTGCCGCTTGCCACCGTCGAGCGGTCCGAGGCGGCATATGAGTCGTCGGTCGCCACCAGCTCGGTGGCCTGGCCAGAGCGGTCACCGGGGAGAAGCCGGCCAGGAGGCGCCCGGTCTCCGCCGATCTAGGGTCAGCGCGGCACGACCACGCCGCCGTGGCCTCCTACGGCGTCCGCTCCCTTAGCGCGCATGCATCGGCGTCCCTATCGGAGATACGCTCAATCGTGAGCATGACGAGGATGGCGTGGACCGCGTCGCGGCGCTCGGGCACTCACCGAACACGCCGATGTGGAAGATCTTCAGCACAGAGGATCTCCTCGATGGAGAAGATGGAGCTCTAGAACTACGGCTGGTGCTGCCTGCTGCTGCCGTGGCCGCCGCTGCATTGCCGGGCTCCGCGGGCACCGCTCATGCTCTGGCTCCCGCCTCCCGGATCCGCCTGACCACCTAGATGAACGGTCGCTTGTTCGCCTCGACACCATGTCCGATTTCGACGAGCACTGGCAGCGACGAGCGCACCAGGCTGCCGAAGCTCACGAACACCACCGACCGGGGATTCTTGGACTCGAGCCAACTCACACACCGGAAGAGAGGCATGGCATGGCGGGGTCAGGAAGAGAGGCCCGATGGTCCACATCTTCTTGCCGATGGCCGCCTCGTAAGCATCGACAAACATGGGCTCGAGCTCCACGAAGCTGTTCACCACCAGGCCGTCGGCTCTCGCGCTCTCGGCCATGATCTCCTCACCGAACTCCATGCCGGGACCCGTGAATTTTCTAGGCGACCGCTCCCTCGATATCTCGACGTCGATAGGGAAGCCAGGGACGCGCACGGGGCCCTACTAGGAGGTGTTGCCGGCGACCTGTGGCTGGGAGATGGTGCCGACCTGCTGGGAGGTGGCCACGGCTGGCTGGAACTGGCCACGACCGGCTGGGAGTTGGCCACGACCGGCTGGAACTGACAGGCTATGTCACGACGAAGGAAGGAGGAGCGGCGGCGGCGTCGAAGATTTTCGTTGGAAAAATATACCATAGAAAAAACCCAAGTTAAACCAAATTTTAAATTTTTAGAGTGAAATATTAGATACTATTGACGATGGACTTTTTTTTCTTCTTCCAATGTCTTTTTAGAGTTGAAAAACATGGAGTTTTGAGGAAGAGATGCTCTTACCTAACAAAATGTTCAGTCCCCATACCCGTCGGCAATGGCGTCTCACACTCGCGGCCTTCTCACTCCTCTCGCACTAGCGCCCGCTTCTCCTCCCATACCCTAGCTCCTCCTCCGTCCTCCGACCCCCTCAGCTCCAGCAATGGCCTCCATCCCGCAACCGCCGCCGGTGATCGGCAAGTCGGGCAACCTCACGGTGTTCGTCACGCCACCGGCGGAGCCGGAGAGCCCGAGGTCCGAGTTCTCTACGCCCCCGACGAGTCCCCGCGCCGAGGACTCCCCTGAATCGCCGCCGGCGCAGACGGCCCCTCCGCCCGCACCTGTTTATTCGGTCTCCACGCCGCCGCTTGTCAAGACGGTCTCTCCGCCGCTTCCCGCGGAGAAGCTCTCCCGACCCTCGCTGCTCCAGGTACCGCCGCCGCTTGTCAAGACGGTCTCTCCACCGCTTCTCGCGGAGAAGCTCTCCCGACCCCCGCTGGTCCAGGTAACGCCGCCGCCCGTAAAGTCGGTCTCAACGCCGCTGCAGGCACCAAAGCTCTCTTCCCGCTCCTTGCCACCGGTCCAGGTGCCGCCGTTGCAGTTCGCGAAAGCGTCGGAAGGGTCGGACGGATCGCTGCTCGCGTTTTTCTGGGACGCGGTTGCACGCGTGCAAGAAGGTGATTTGGAAGAGAATCCTTCGTGTTTAATTGCTCTGATTTATTTTTATTTTAACGTTTGTGACTTTGAATTTTGATCTGTGAGCAAAATATTTTCCTGGTTTAGCACACGCGAGTTTGGACGAGCACATCTCGAGATGGTTCGGGCTGGACCAGTCCAAGTACCAGTGGGCGCTCAACGACTATTATGAGAGGACTGGACAGGTTATCCCACACTTTAGTTTCTTGTTCTTTTGTTTGTTGTTGGTCATTCTTACTTTAGTTTCTTGTTATTCAGTTTGTAGTTGGCCATTCTTGTTTGTTTTGGTTGGATCAGTGTCTTTGATTCCTATCAGTCGGCATGAGTTGGGTGCAAATTGAGAAAAAGAAAAGTTGTGTGTCGGTGTTGGGTGGTGGAATGCATCTAGTTTGGGTTCCCTACTTTAGGAATTCTAGTTGTTGCCTACAGTAATCTTTTGATGTATAGTTGGTGGCGGTAGTTGTACTGATGTCATTGATTTTGACCCAAGGTGTGGTTTCATGCAATTTATTTATGATGATAGCTAGGATGGTGGTGACAGCAATATTGTATCTGTCTGATGTGCTGTTTGGTCCCAAATCTCATGTGGGCAATATCTGCAAAGTTTTTGTATGATTGCCTTGTTTGGCAGGGCTTCAAAGGGACCAACAAAAGGCTCCAACTCCTCCACCCCTGACCTCACTGTTCATAGAAGCTATTTTTTCTCTTGTTGCCCCATTGTTCATAGAAGCTATTTTTCTGTCCTCGCCCCATTGTTCATAGAAGCTATTTTTCTGTCCTCGCCCCATTGTTCATAGAAGCTATTTTTCTCTCCCTGCCGCAAATGAACTGGGAGCCAGTGAAGCCAGTCTTTTTGGCTTCATTGGCTCTGATTCCTCGTGACACTGTAACAAGGAGCTGAAGGCTTGAAGCCCTGCTAAATCGGGCAGCATGTGTAGGTCTAACCCCCTATTAGTTCAGATTCAGACTACAACCACGAGCCACTTGTGATTCACTTTTCAGTCCATGCTGTTTTGCAATTTGTGTGCAACTATTCCTCTTTGCATCTCTTGTGATTCTTTCTTTGAGTCCTGCCATGTATGGTTTTAAACTTTTAATGAGATAATGCCTGAATGCATGGTTAGAACTGCAATGGAACTGTGTTTCATTGGCACTGTATGCTTAACCCATTATATTTACCAAATTATTATGAAATATTTGCTGTATTTTTAATGAACTGTCTTGTCTGAGTGCATCGGTTAATGAGATATGCTGTTACTCATTATATTAGAGAATGTCCAAAGGTTTAACTGAAAACTCTCAGATTTAACAAAGTTTCTTCATGATAAATGCCGCATCTTTCTCCACCCTGTATTATTTAATTTGAAAAATACTTTGTGAATGCATCTTAAGTTCTTAACATAAAAATAGCCAACATGCTCACCATTTCTTGGATTTTTTCTAAGGTGAAACATTCAAATCCTGCAACCTTGGCACTTCATAGCTATCTTTATTTATAAGGGGTGAGTTGCATACATCTGATTTAGGTTTTCTCAGAGTATAATGCACTGGAGCCATCTTAACTTTTCTAGTTATTTTACTTTACTTTGTAATCTGTCCAGTGCTGCAACCAGATGCAAGTTTAGGGAGCAGCAGAAACTAATTTGCTAGATCATGAAGCTTAGCGAGAAATTGTGAAACTTTATATGTTTGCTAATGGAACTCTTCTTTGAATTTCACCTTAGGAGTTCATGAAAATATTAAGCTACTGGAGAGAAAGCATCCTACTACTTTTTTTTTGTAGTTTCGCAAATCTGTGATTTCGAGGTCACTATATGTAGTGGTTTTAAATACCCCCCTCTCCTTTTGTGGTTGAATCAGTTAATAATTGTGGGGTCACTCCTAGCCTCCCACCCTCGCTAGGGATAACGCGGGGGGAGGCCGAGGGTTTCCCACAGGGAATGGAAAGAGCGCAAGCGTATGAGCGAGGGTATCCCATAGGGAGAACAAGAAATGAATGCGGATTAATTGCACATTAAATTGCCCAAAAATCCCCCCTCTGTACATGAGCGCCCCCGGGTATTTATAGCTCATACCCGGGGGCGCGATGAAATTACAAAAGGGTTGACGTAAGACCGTCAACCGCAATACAGAGGCCAAGGGTAGTGAGGTAATCCTCCGTATCCCTTTCCAACCACTCCTAACCCTAACCGCACGCACTGTGCAGCCGCCGCTTCCAGGCGTTGGCGTACCCGCGCTTCCTGATGGACCTTCGCCACTTCGGCCTGGGGGCCCTCCCCCTCTCAGGTGGTCCTGGGCTCCCTCTCGACCTTAGACGAGCCTCGCGCGAAGCACCTGAAAAAGGGGAGACCAGGAGGAAAAAACCTTCGTCGCAGGGGTTGCGGCCCGATACGAGGTAGGTCACAAGGTCCACAATGTGGGTCGGGAGACAGGCGGGGGTCAAGCTGGGTCGCCCTCCCCCAACAATAATATTTTATTTTTGTGAGCTGACTGAGCTCTCACCAAACATGTAGTTGCACTGTAGGTATTGGACTATGGCTGTATTAAATCATTTCTAGCGAAGCATATTTGCTATACACAGAGATGATTTAGGGGGTGTTTGGTTTGTGGAATAAAGTGGTCCATAATCATCTCATTCTTTAGTTTTTTGTTTGAATTGTGGAATAGAATGAGTTGATCCGTCACCACCTAATTCCTTAGAAGCTAATAATTAGTACTAGTATTAGGAATGATTTCCCTTACAAGTACATGGGCGCTCCCGCTTTCGTTTAAGAAATTGAACAAAGTGCAAGTTCAGCCCATTGTAGACCGCATTGCTGCCCAATTGCCAGGTTGGAAATCTGATCTACTGAACAGAGCTGGGAGGTTGGTAATGGTCCAATTTGTGATGACATCTATGGTGATTTATCTGGCTATATCTTCGGATCTTCCCCCTTGGGCTCTCAAGTTAAGGGCCCATCTCAAGGAAATCGACAAGATTAGGAGTTTTCTATGGAGAGGAAGATAAACTAATGGGGGTCATTGTTTACTCACCTGCCCTAGAGTTAGCTGGCCTAAAGAGCTGGGTGTACTTGGTATACATGGTCTAAAATCCCTTGGCTGTTCCTTGAGAATGAGATGGTTGTGGCTTGCAAAGACCCAACCAAACAGCCATGGGCAGAGTTTAAGATCATGTTACACCCTTCTGTACATGCCTTCTTCTCCAGGGCAGTGTTCACTGTTGTCGGTGATGAAAAATCTACTCTCTTTTTGGACTGATAAGTGGCTGCATGGCCTGTCCATTGAGCAATTTGATCCTCACCTTTTTGCTCTGGTCTCCAAGAGTTCAGCCAAAAGACGCACAGTTTTTTATGCTCTGTTGCACATGTTCTGGACCAGGGACTTATGAGGTGCCCTCACTGTTGCTGCTATGTCAGAATATATTGGTGTCTGGGATCTTGTTTCGAATGTGCAGCTGCAACCTGACTTAGCACTGCCTCTAGACAGTACTCAGCCAAGTCTGCCTATTATACTCTCTTCTTTGGCTCAGTGCAGTTTGAACCTTGGAAACTCATTTGGAATACTTGGGCGCTGAAGAAGTGTCAATTTTTCCTCTGGCTTGCTTTCCATAATAGATGCTGGACTGCAGATAGACAGGCCAAGAGAGGTTTACCTCATCCTGCTCAGTGTCCCCTATGTGACAAGGAAGATGATACCATCCATCATATCCTTTGTGGGTGCGTGGTTGCCAGGCAAACCTGGTCCCTTGTCTTCTGCCGCTATGGGCTACAGGATTTCTCTCCACTCCCTGATGACAAGGACCCTCCATGTCTGGTGGATGCATATTCTGGATTTGTTCCCTAACAACTACAAGAGAGGGCTGAATTCACTAATTATTTTGGTTGCCTGGTCCGTGTGGAAGCGCCGTAATGATGTAGTGTTTAATGGAGCTGCTCTCAATGTGCAACTTATTCTTATAAGCAGATTTGTGAAGAGGCTAATCTCTGGTGCCTAGCTGGTGCTAGTGGGTTAGCTTACTTAGAGTAGAGGTCGCTGCTAGATAATACAGTGGTTTGTGTTTAGCTGGGTCGCCATTGTCGTCGTTTTTGTTCTTCTGTTTTCTTTTCAGGTATTTCTTGTGGCGTCTTGGCTCCTTTGGGGGTTTTGGGTGTGTTGAGTTCTTCTTAATACAATGATACGCAGGTCCCCTATGTACTCGAGAAAAAACTAGTAAATGGACTCATGATGCATCACCCCATCTAGAATGGGTTGATTACCAAACCAAACATTCCATTAGAGTGCCACTTGATGCCATTGTTGTTGCACAAGGATTTGGCAATGCTAAAATGATTCAAAATTGTTCTTTTTTTGTGTGGCATTGTCAATTCCTAGACTGAAGGGGAGGCCTGATGCAGTTTAGAGTCTCTCCACTTGTGTCCTGAAGTCCTGTGGGTTTGAAAAAACCTGATTGCAAAATGTATGTGAGCGCTAGGCTGTGTATAAACCCCCTTCCCTAGACACCAACATGGGTGGGAATGTTCGGCACTTGCTATGCCTTGATTGTTAGATTCCAGTTAAAAGGTACATCTTTTCACTGTTTGGCCACTCATACCTCAATTATGCATAAATTCATTTTTCAAATGCAGAACGATAGTGGCAGTATGGTTATTATCACTGTTGTTTTGTATTCAGAATATGCTGTACTATTTTCTTTATGTTCAGTATTGTGGATGTGACTGAAATGTTTCCAGCAATCTAGCCAAATCAATACTTTATAATTATGTCATCTAAAAGAGCTTCACATTTGCTCTAAATTCTGTGACAGGAGATAGATTTGAGCGACGCTGGCACTTGTAAGGAGGACAGTTGTAAAAATTCAGAAAGCATGAAAAAGGTATATTCGCGTATTTGAACAGATAGGCGCCTTCACTGTCCAGTTTTTCTGATTTTTTTTTTGATCTTGTATTATTTTACTTTGCAGTGAATTATTTCTAGGTTTTATGTGTGTAACTAAGCTGGTGCCGCGTCAAGCTGCATATAGAAGCCTTTTGTTTTCCTGAAGATTGAGGCCTCTTTTTCTGCATCCGGAAGCTCTTGGTTGTAACAAATCCATTTGTTAGAGCTCCGTTGTGGTTAAAGAAAAATCTTGTTGACCCTTTTCTTAATCGCTTTCACAACGGCTACTCTGCCACGTTGAAATCACTGTCTTATTCCCCCCTGGACCATCACTGGTGCATAAACACTAAACACAGTGGCGCCACGAATTCAGTGTAAGAAATACCTCATTTTGGTGTTGCCATTGTCCTTTATTTTCCGATCAATATCTTTCGTTTTAGCCGTGCTACCAAAACCAACCAACAAAATTAAGTAATCAACAAGTAATGAAACAATCAGCTAAACAAAACAATTGAACAAATGAATTAATAAACAATTAATAAGCTCCTTGCCTGATCCTGCATGCCTGTTCCCGCTCGGTCTCGCAGTCGGACCGTGTGCCTTGTGCAGGGCAATCATGCACCGACAGTTCACCGATGCATGGCCAGTTGGCCACTAGTCCCCGCGTAGCGTTCACGAGACCGCGACGGCTGCGGCACAGCGGACGCCGACGGTCGGCCGGTGGCCCCTCCGCCCGTGCGCAGCGTCGTCGTCGTGGGCTCCCGGCGTGTTCCGGTAGCCAGTGGTGCGCTAGCGTCGTGCATCAGGGTCAGACCACACAGCCGAATAGCAGATACGCATGGGCTGCCTAATTGCTAATCGCTCGGGGGCTCAGCCCACAAAAGGCCCAACCACCAAAATACGCTCTCTTTTTGGTGTTTTTTTTTCGATTACACTCAAACACTCACAATGGATGCACACTCAACCCATATCAACGCACGTACGCAAACCCTCCTCGAGATTGATGGAGTAATCAAAAATACATTGTTGTCGATGGGAACGTCGCCTACCACTGAAAGCATAAATCGCTGCTAAATTCTAGAAAATTCGCTCCCACAGGAAGTTGAACACAAAACCTAAGATGCTACTGAGGCTCTTATAGCCCTCTCGCCCTCTTCAATGCTGTTGAGTTTGGCATCCATGGCAGATTGCTAGCGGGGCCGGCAGGTGCGACTTGCAAAGGATATCCATGGCAAAGCCAAGGTAGAAGGCTCTTCATTGCACGGGCCCCTCCGTCACTGCCCGAAAAGATATACAATAACTAATTGTTGTGAGATCACATGGTCAAAATTGGATTTAATATGAAACTAACATTGCAAAGTAATTAAATTTTGACATCAACAATATGCATTTATTGTTTATATATGCTTTCTATAGCATGATGATTTGGTATTGTTGCATGATATATACACGTGTGAGATAATGTGCAGATCGATTTGAATCAAGTCATGGACAGAAGCGGGCCTAGTCGATAGTCCAGGTAGGTCCAAGACTACTATGGAATGTGGCCCAAACATTTTTAGTACTCAACAACCCATGAGAAGTTTGGCCCAGGCGCCCATAATTCGCTTGCCATCTCGCCTAGGCCACGACGGGCGTGACCGCGACCCCCGCGACCCTGACACTTTTAGGGCGACTACGCGTTTTGCGTGAGCTGCGAGGCCCAAGTGGGTCCCCCTCCGGCTATTGCCCCGTCCTAGTGTGGTCGTCCCATCGCTGAGCGGCACCCCCACCGCGGCCCCGCCCCGCGTGGCCACGTGCACACGCTCCTTTAGTCAACCGACGTCAGGCATGCCAAGTAGCTGGGCGGCTGCCCCATCCGCCAAGTGCCCGTACTGTCCTATTCGAGACTCGAAGTCCATGGCCTGCCATCGCCGTGCGCCGTCCTGGTGAGTGCTTCTGAGACTTCTCCCGTATCCCATTCTCTTAAGCGGTTAAGCCTAAAAGCATATAGGCCAAGTTGGGTTTTGATGATTAATGACTACACAAGATTATTGTGACTAATGTGTTTTTGTAGAGGCATTATGTGTTAGGTCACAATAATGATGATTGTTCGGGCAATCAATTATTTTCATGCCCCTATTGACATAATTTGTTTCAGTTTTCAAAGGATGGACGACAAGTTTAAAGACAGACTAGTTGGAAGTGTCGTTTGGAGTTGGGAGATATTTAGAGTAGTTTATGACTTTTTTCTTTGGCCATACTATAAAGGGGGTATGAACTAGTAGCTTGACATAGGTGAATCTAATGTTTTAGGTGCGGTGCGTGCACACATGTCAAACTTAGTACTAGGTAGCTCGGAGAAGGCCCAAAAATCAGCTAGAAGCAATCTCATTCACAAAAGTGCTTGAATTGTTAGTGAATGGTGTGATTGTAGTAGCATTGGATTGTAAAGGTGCTAACCTTTGGAGCATATGCTATGTGCTCGAGGTCTTCGGCTAGGCTTGCTGAAAACAGAGCATCCAAGTGAGAGAACCATCAGAGTGAGAGAGGCATGGGAGCAATGCCTACCATTCTGATGCTATGTAGAGAGCAACTAGAGAAGTCTTGGAAGCATCAGATTGTCCTAGTGGACAGAGATGGCAATAGGGCGGGTTAGGGCTGGGTGAAGCATTCGTGGACCCGCACCTAAAACCCGAGTCTAGAACCCACCTCGAACCCAAAATGACTTATGGGTGAAAAATCAGCCCCGGCCCCGAACCCGGCGTGCATCCGAAACCCGCGGGGACCCGGTCGTCATCTTCGTCTTTACGATAGAAGGGGAACAGCTGTAGGGGCGTGGCAGCGAGAGGACTGAGGAGAGCATAGTCGGCGCTGGTGGCGTTGAGGTTGACACAGGAGAGATCGAGGGCGCAGCTGATAGTCGACGCCGATGGTGGAGAGGAGGAAGCCAAGGAGCCTACGCCGGTGAAAGCTCTAGTTTGGTTTTGGATAATTGATGAAACCTATTTGACTAACCTTATGCTATAAGTGTATAAATGAGATAGGTTAGTCCAAGTCCAAGTGATGGAGCTAGATAGCACTCATGTGATGGAGATGGCCAAAAGATGGTGATAAAGTGCTCCAACTTGAAAAAGAGAAGGAGAAAAGCTAAAGCCACCATGGAGATAGGGCAAAGGTATAAGCTTGGCTTTTCTTTTGCCAGTCAAGACATAATAGAGTGCGTGATCAGGTTTAGGATAGATAGTTGTACCATGAAGAGAGGATAATTCATGGTTGATGCGGTTATCAAGTGCCACTAGGTGATCTAACTCGTTGCATATGCATTTGAAACCTAGTGAGCTAATATACCCTTGGAGAGTGGCTAAGAATGTTGCTAACTCACGTACACAAGTGTTGGAATACTTGGAGTTGGCACACATGCACAATGGTGGTGAGAATCGAACTTAAAAGAAGAAACAGGGCGGTCAGACTAGTTCACGACAGGGTTGGACCAGTCTAACCGTCCACTAACCACATGCGAGAGACAGAGAGCAAGGGTTTGCTCTTGGACTGCAGCAGGGGCAGTCGGACTGGTTGGGTTAGACCGGCCCAACCCATTGTTCTGGCTGCAACATAGGCATCCGACCAGTTGGTATCGTCGATCGGACCACACTGGATCACTGCGTAGTGGTCTATTAGATGGCACGGGTTCAAAGGCATGGGCATGTGGCAGCAATCCGTGGGTCAGACCGGTCGGACGCCACTGCAAACTGGTCCGACTATTGGCTAGTTTCTGAGTAACGGCTAGCTCAAGGTGTGAACACCTATTTAAGTGAGTTGTTTGGTTTGGGGTGGCTCTCTTGGCCATTTGAGACCTTGTACACCCCCTAGAGTTGAGAAGCAAGTCTTGCACTCATCTCTCTTGATTTGTTTGTCATCTAGTGAGTCCGGAGAGTATCCAAAGTGCATTTGCATCGCATTATCGCATCTAGTGGCACTTGTGGTTGCATCGGCTATGGATTCTCTTGTTACTCTTGGTGGTTGTCGCCACCTAGATGGCTTAGAGCAGCGGTGATCATTGAGCGGAGGGTGGTGATTGTTTTCGACTCCGATCGGTGATTTGTGTGGGGGTTCTTATGCCTATTCCCCGTGGGAGCCGTGAAAGGCAACTCTAGTAAATTGCTCATAGCTTGTGTACCCTCTCTTGTGGTTGGTTCTTATGGTGCCCTTGTGTAGGGCTAGGCATGTGATGCCCATTAGCGCATGAACCACCAAGTGAGTGCGTCATCACAACATGGACTAAGTTGCCGGCATGCAACCAAACCATGGGATAAATCTTGTGTCTCATTGTCTCCTTGGATTTCTCATTGGACACTTGGCCAGTTCGGTATCGCCCTCTATCACTTGCATTAGTTTCGTTGATATACTTGTCTAGTGGTAGTGCTTGCTTATTTTGCTAGTTGAGTAGTCTAGTTGTAATTAGTTATAACTAGTCTTTTGCTAGCTCACTAGTTGTAGTAGTAGAGACTTATCTTGATTGTGTGTGTGATATGTACATAGAGAGAGAGAGATGAGTAAAACACTATGTGAAAAATGATTTGTAGCAATGGGGCAAATTTTTTGTAGGGGCGGCTGGTGATGGAGTCGTCCCTACAGTGGCGTGCTCGGGAGCCTAAAGACCAGCTGCCCCTACAAATGGAACAGCAGGGCCGGCTGGTGATACGAGCCACCCCTACAAATGGGTCGGATTTGTAGGGGCGGCTCACTCACCAGCCGCCCCCGGTGTTGCTATTTGTAGGGGCGGCTCAATCACCAGCCGCCCCTACAAATGACCCACATATAAAACAAACTGTAGCACCTTCTTACTCCTCGGGTCACTCACTCCAACCCGTAAAAGAAAGGTGGGGAGGCCTTGGGCACCTCCCAAAAATTGCTCTACTAAGGGGGAAGGTTTTGGTCTCAAATCCTTTGGTGGAGAGGTTGTAGAAGGTAAGAAAATGCTATTCCACACTTTTTTTTAGTTTTAATGGTTGGTTAGTGAGTAATTAGAGTTTTGCTTTTCTCTCTCTTCTATGGTGCTTGAGCTTTATGAAGCAAATTAGACCCAAATTTTGAATGTACTTGGGT